CCTCTATATTTTATATTACAGTTTACAGTAAGACATGTCGTACTATAATCCTCTATATTTTATATTACAGTTTACAGTAAGACATGTCGTACTATAACCCTCTATATTTTATATTACAGTTTACAGTAAGACATGTCGTACTATAACCCTCTATATTTTATATAACAGTTTACAGTAAGACATGTCATACTAAAACCCTCTTTATTTCATATAACAGGGAAGCAGTTAAGTGCCAGTGAAAACAATAATCTGGCTGCCATAGCAACTATTATCTACATCAGGGATCAAATCCTGTCTCGTAATTTCCTCAACCAGACCAGGTAAGTATTTTGTAACATTTATATCAGCAGTTAAGTGTAACAAAATTCCAAATTATCATATGTGACCAATATCGGAGTAAAATTGAATGTGTTCTTGGAATATAAAGGCCAATTATTACCTGCTTGATCCTAAACCGTCTGTCAGTCTGTCCGTCCACAAATTTTGTTCCTGACTGATATTTTTAGGTCACCTGAGCTTTAGCTCAAGTGACCTATTGCTATCCGTTTTCGTCCGTCGTCGTCCGTCGTCCGTCGTCCGTCGTACGTCGTCCGTCGTCCGTCGTCCGTCGTCCGTCGTCCGTTAACATTTTACATTTCAAACTTAAAGTCAAGTTCTGCTGGGCCGATTGAACTGAAAGTTGATAGGAATGATCGCCTCATGGTCCTGACAAAGTGTTGTTATTTTTCGGGTCGATCAGAAATCCAATATGGCCGCCACGGCCGCCATTTTGAAAACCTATTTCAAACTTAAAGTCAAGTTCTGCTGGACCGATTGAACTGAAAGTTGGTAGGAATGATCGCCTCATGGTCCTGACAAAGTGTTGTTATTTTTCGGGTCGATCAGAAATCCAATATGGCCGCCACGGCCGCCATTTTGAAAACCTATTTCAAACTTAAAGTCAAGTTCTGCTGGACCGATTGAACTGAAAGTTGGTAGGAATGATCGCCTCATGGTCCTGACAAAGTGTTGTTATTTTTCGGGTCAATCAGAAATACAATTTGGCTGCCATGGCCGCTATTTTGCTACTAAGTTCTAATAGGCCGATCTCACTTAAAATTGGTCTAGGAATGATCAGCTCATGGTCCTGACAAAGTTAAGTTAACATTATACTATTTTTTACTCAAATTGGTACATATTTCAACAACAAAAATAAATACTATAGACTCAGGTGACCGTTAAGGCCCATGGGCCTCTTGTTGTTATTTAGTGACCAATTTACATGAAACTTGGTCAAGATGTTCAGTTCACAAAAATACACACTGAGGTAAAAAGTCAAGGTCAAAGGTCAAGGTCATTAGGTTTCAAAGGTCCAGGTCAAATTTTGCATCTTCTCACTAATGAACATTTTGTTATGACGTGATGAAGCAAAGTTGATCAGGTTTAAACAAGGAGTCAACTGACCAAAGGTCAAGGTCATCGGGTGGAGGTCTAAGGTCAAGGTCAAATTTTGTAGCTTTTCGCTAATGAGCATTTTATGACATTATGAAGCAAAGTTGGTCGGAATTAAACAAAGAGACACACTGAGGTAAAAAGTCAAGGTCATTAGGTTCAAAGGTCAAGGTCAAATTTTGCATCTTTTCACTGATGAACTTTTTGTTATGACCTGATGAAGAAAAGTTGATCAGAATTAAACAAGAAGTCAACTGATCAAAGGTCAAGGTCATCGGGTCAGAGGTCAATGTCACTTAGTCAGAGGTCAACGTCAAATTTTGTAGTTTTGACTAATGAGCATTTTAAGACATTATGAAGTAACGTTGGTCAGAACTAAACAAGGAGTCAATTGACCAAAGGTCAAGGTCACTGGGTCAAAGCTCCAGTTCTCATTTTGTATCTTTTCCATGATGAACATTTTGTTATGCCATGATGAAGCAAAGTTGATCGGAAATTAACAAAGAGTCAACTGACTTAAGGTCAAGGTCACTGGGTCAAAGGTCAAATTTAGTATCCTTTCACTGGTGAACATTTCGTTATGACACTTTTAAGCAATATTAGTCGGAATTAACAAGGAGTCAACTGACTTAAGGTCAAGGTCAAATATTGTATTTTTTACTGATGAACATTTTTTTTATGTTATTATGAAGCAAAGTTGTTCAGAACTTAACACGGAGTAAACTAACCTAAGGTCCAGGTTACGAGGTTCAAGGTCAAGGTCAAGTTTTATATTTTTCACTGATGAACATTTTGTTATGATATTATGAAGCAAAGTTGGTAGGAATTAAAGAATAATTCAACTGACCACAGATTGGGGTCACTGGGTTAAAGGTCATGGTCATTTGGGTCCCAAGGTCAAAGACAAAGTGGATCTCGGACTTTGACCCTGGCTCTTGAAGGAGGAGGTATTTAAGGTGAAATAAAATAAATCAAAGCTAACAAATGAGTATTGCATCGGTATTTACATTTCTGTTAGCCAAGCAAAAATGAAGGTGGAAGGAAACAAGACTCACATCATAGTACATGCAAAATGTATATTTTACTTCCTTGCGATTCTTTTTAAGTCCAAATGTCAAACGTCAAGCTCAGCTATGTGGGCAGATTGCTGCTTGATGATTATGGCGAGTATATTGTCACAAGAGGGGGCCCTTACTGACCTGTCAGTGTTCTAGTTTTATTTTCAAAAAGTGTATTTAGAGTAAATTTATTGTTTTGAAGAATGCCTGCATCATCAGACCTTCCCACAGTATGGTCACTCAGCGTCCAAATTGATGGTCGGTCGGTCCCTGTCTCAGCTTCGTGCGGTGGTGGCTATGTAACGGTAGGTTATACTCCAAGTGATCTTTATGTAGTTGCATTCAATAGCTTGGGATATGTGTAAAATTGCATTTCTATCTGTCTTTGAAAGCTTTCCTTGTCCCGGAAAGGTCAAAGGTTGAATGTTGACATTGATTTATCTCTTCCTCTTAGCTGTTCATACCTCAATAATTGACACACCACCACCAGACTGCAGTGTGCCATGTGATATATTTAGGTGTGAGCTGACAAGGTTAAGGTCAATGTGTAAGGTCAAAGGTAAAATGTACACATTTATTCATTGTTCTCACTAAAAGCCCTTGGCTGGCAAAAGTAGCCTGCTATATATATTCATTGACTATAACCAGCCAATTTTCAGAATATGTACAGGTCAACAATATAGTATGTGAACATTCCACTGACTATTCTTTGAAGTCAACCACGTTTTTCAAACTTAAAGAGAACATTGTTTTTGGTAAAATGATAGTTTGATAAGTATTGAAATGGGTCATCCATTTTGTTTGGAGCGTAATACTAATTTCTTCCTGTTTTCAAATTTACCTGTGCTTTTTCACATCATTTCAAAGATTGATAATTATCATATTTAATAAAACATCTTTGTAATGTAAAACTAGTGCAAGGTAACAAATATATGCTTATCTACCCTGAGATGATATTTGCCAACCCTGGTTAATTATATTTATTTCTGCCAGGTTGAGTGTAATGGACAGAAGATGTCTATACTGGATAGCCTTGACTTCTCCGCTCCTCTGCTGGAAGTCTTTATTGACGGCCAACCCACACTCCTTCAGGTAAGATTGATTGACTCTATTGCTCATTCGTGATGTAAATGGAGACATCTTAATCGCAGGGAAGCAGTCCCAAACTTAATAGACATAGCTAGCTTCTGGACGAGAGAAATGTTATCCCATGGGTTCCATATCTATATTACACTGGGACGGTTGAATATTTTTCTCCTACACTGATTATTTACGCTAAATATACTAACTACCATCCCCACAGTTCTGGACATAAAAGTGAACACCAGCAATATCAGTACAAATCTGGGCAATGATAGTGACATTATTCCACTTAAAATAGCCACAGTGAAAGGTATGCTATTTTCCATGTTCACATGGAACACAAGCCCCTGAGGAGTATATTTCCTAGCTATCTGTCAATTTTTCCAAATTAAAACTCATTTAAACCTGTGAAGTATAGAAAAAATATTTATGTATTGTGGAATTTTTTATTTTTCTTACCTTCAAGACATAATGTGTATAGTTGATGGGCTGAATTGAAGTATATCTAACTTTTAAGAAAATCATTTGAATTTTGTATGAAAAGTGAAAACTTTAAATTTTGAACAGCTAACCCAAAGACTTGGAGCTGGAAAATACAGACTGCGCTACCTTGGTACTGTGGTAAGTCTCTTATGCCTTTAACCACTATAAACCATAATGGACTTATCTGGATCAATACATGGTAGAGTTTACTAAAGTAACTAAGGGGTGAAAGGTTTAACTTAATGTAACTTTGATATGATTTCACCTTTAATTTAACTAACCTCATCTACTGAAATAATTTACAGTTTCATTTTTGTCCAATATTTAAAATGTGGAAGTGTACTCTCAATAATGTTTTCTAGAACTCAAAGTTAAAATATTTTGAACTAACCAATCACCATTGCTGTTATAGCTGAGTAACCAATGAGCTTGCCTGTTGTAGTTCCCGGTGACGGTGATGGATGAGTTCGCCAGTGAGATGATGAAGTACATGCCTGAGAGGGTACCGGAGGATCTGCCCACCATGGTCACTGCTCCTATGCCCGGGGTCATCAAGAGTATTGCTGTGGAGGTCGGCCAACAGGTAGGCAGATTCTACTGTACACTGTGGTCAAGTTTGAAATGTTTTTTTTGTTGTTTTTTTATATGGAAGAGCACAGGGTGTCGGGAGAAACCAAACTACTCACAGAAAACCCACTAGGTTTGACAGGTGACCTCATACTTTTTTCCATCCAATCAGGGAATGACACCCTGGCTGTCTTGGTGAAAGGCAATTGGCCATCCACTTAGCTACCTTACCACCTCCCACATTTAAAGCCTTGCATTAGAGATACCCTATGATTATTACCATGTCTGCCTGTCCATCCATCCAACTATTGCATGGTGACACACTGTTATAAGTAGGTAGATGCTCAGTAGGGGTTTAACAAGTTTCTAAGGTTCAAGTCACTTACTAAAAATAAAACGGGGAAAGATTTTATTAGTTTTTAAAAATATGCACTTAACCCTATCATTGTGTATATTTCAGATTGGTGAAGGCCAGGAGGTGTGTGTACTAGAGGCAATGAAGATGCAGAACAGTCTGGTTGCCGGGGTAACTGGCAAGGTAAGTGATATAGGTTTTACTGCATGTTTCTTTCAGCAATTTTGTTTTTAAGTATCTTATAGAATGTGTTTTTGTAATGAAAACAACGTATATTTTTTCTTCACTCGTTCTTCTCAAAGTATGATTCTGTATGTACCCTTTTGTTAGGAGAATATGATATTTATCTAGTCACCTTATCGAGGTAACTATATGGTTAGATAGACCTGAAAAAGAGATAATGACCAAGGTAAAGTCGAGGTTAATATCACTTCTGGTATATACAACCACATATTCACCAAAGTAGATGTCCTGAATTATTGTTTGTATTAGATATGAAATTATGATCTTTCTTTTCATTAAACAAGATGGAACATAAGAAAACCATAATAGAATAGTATTGCATTTGGCAGAGAGTATAATGATGTTACAATTGAAGTGACACCACAAAGAGAATATTAACCTGCTGTTTCTAAAAATAATAACACAGAGTCAACAGCACAAATCAACAACCTTTATGTGAATATGACCCAACCAATTAGGATGTAGGATAGAAGGTTGTGTTCTCTAAGTTACGGGAGTATTAAAGCTTAAAGAAGGTTGTGTTCTCTAAGTTACGGGAGTATTAAAGCTTAAAGTAGGTTGTGTTCTCTAAGTTACGGGAGTATTAAAGCTAAAAGAAGGTTGTGTTCTCTAAGTTACGGGCGTATTAAAGCTTAAAGAAGGTTGTGTTCTCTAAGTTACGGGAGTATTAAAGCTTAAAGAAGGTTGTGTTCTCTAAGTTACGGGAGTATAAAAGCTTAAAAATGAACCTTTTACACCAGTTCTGTGATTTCTATTCCTCAGGTTAAGAAGATTTTCTTCCAGCAGGGAGCAACAGTGGACGAGGGAGACCTCATTATAGAACTGGAGGAGGAGGAGGCCAAGAAATAAATGTTTACAACATGTGATCTCAGGAAGTTATATGGACATTTCAGCTGAATGTAAACAATACATATCTGTTTATGAGAATTCATCAAACTTACATGTGATACAAAGATTATGATTGAAAGTTGAGAATGTGTTTTTGTTAAGGAGAAAAAAGACAATTGAAGATTTCATCCATGCAATTTTAGATAAAAGGATATACATACCAGTATACATGTACCTAAAAGTCAAAAGTTATTATAAATGGTCAAATTTTGCATGGAGTAATAGAGATTTGCTTATAAGTATGTAATCAGAATATCAACCTATAACAGTGATGGTTTTTGACATATAGACAGGGATTTTAATACCAAATAGAGATTTTTATTTTATTTTACATACTCTAGTTAAGCCAGTACTGGCACATGACAGTAGGAACTATTAATCTGATACCGGGATGGAATGTCAGGACAGCTACAGAAACAACTCTCAATGACATGTATTTCGTACTAAATGAACCTCTTAATTTAGTTTTCTTTTGTTAATATAATATACAAGTTCATCATCTTGTTTGGCTTCATAGTAAACTAACGCAAATGCTACATATTCATTGGTGGGTATGGAAATGTTTTTGATAAAAATAACTACATGTTAATATAACTATTTTAAACCATGTTTCTTTTGTTTTATAAAAATACACCCCAGTGATACTGTATTTAAATGAACATGTCTCTTTTTTAATAAAGCTTTAGTTTCCCTCTTTTCTTTACAATTAAAAAATGAAAATTCATATTGAATATATAAGTAAATGTATCCAGTTATCTTTAAGTTTTTGTTGCAAAAAAAATATTTGGAGTCAAACCTGGTTATCTCAAAAATAGTCATGGTACCGTGACAGTATATTGAGGTAAAGAGGATATCTAATAGCTGAAATGCTTGTAAAAAGTGGGGCCTGGGATAACAATTTTGCTTTATCAAACATCAGTAGCCATCAAACCTAGTCAACCAATGTGTACTATAAAGTTAAAACTAACATTAATAAATCATGCAATGTACAATACAAACTTTCAAATAAAAACATTCCACAAGTGTAACTTGTCTGATACTTAGGGAACATGTAAGATTTGTTTTGAAGGTACTCACTATCAAATACAATAAAAACACTAATGAAACTTTTCTTTCAATAAAGAAAACAAAAAACAAGAAAATCAGTCTCAGAAATTTTCTGAATGAGGTAAGTTTGCTTTTTACCACATGTGATATTAAGACTGGAAGTGTTTTAATTGGTTGAAAGATGATGACACGATGCTTTGTGGTGCCATGCTTGAAACGAAGTTGCATTTTTATGTATTATTCATCGAGATTTCTTCCTGGTCAAACATTGGAATCATGCATGAAATATTGCTTCCTTGGCCTAACAAGACTTCTGATGGAAGGGATCCCAAACTGGTGATGGTTAATTATTGTATGCATGTATATCTTACTCTTGTTAGTTAATTTTCAAATTGTAAACATACACTCAGAAAATCTGAGGTTTTTATGAAGTTTGAAAATTTACTTTTGTTAGATAAACAATATAACCAGCCACCACTCTCTATAAGGTATATATTGTCAACCTGGCAACCTCTCTATAAGGTATATATTGTCAACCTGGCAACCTCTCTATAAGGTTTATATTGTCAACCTGGCAACCTCTCTATAAGGTATATATTGTCAACCTGGCAACCTCTCTATAAGGTTTATATTGTCAACCTGGCAACCTCTCTATAAGGTATATATTGTCAACCTGGCAACCTCTCTATAAGGTTTATATTGTCAACCTGGCAACCTCTCTATAAGGTATATATTGTCAACCTGGCAACCTCTCTATAAGGTTTATATTGTCAACCTGGCAACCTCTCTATAAGGTATATATTGTCAACCTGGCAACCTCTGTTTAAGGTATATATTGTCAACCTAAAGATTATTTCCCAATTTGAATTTTCACCCGTGGGTCTTTCAGAACAAATTCGCTGAGATTTGAATAAATGATCACCCCTTTGCATTTCTAGGATAGTCGTGAATGTAGCTGATTTTAAAGTTTGAACCAGTCTTGATTTGACCCTTCTGTTCAAGAAGGTAAAGTAGATGCTGCTGTTTGCTGTATGGAAGTTCTGGGTGTGTGATAATGTTACCACTGTACAGATACACTGTACTGTTGTAGGGTTGTTTGTATTTATACTTCAGTGCTAGGTTAAATATAGTGTATTTTAAGAATGAATATAGATATATAAATCCAATAGTATAAATGAGTTGACCTGAATTTACCAGTCAAAGTCATACCAGGGCTAGATATTAAGATTTGTTATAAGTAAGTATGAATATAATTATTGCCAGATTCCTACAATTGTAAATACTACACACGTACTGTAAACGTACATATTTTAAAGTATTTTTATTTTAGTGTTTCTTTAGCACTTTGTGCTTAATTATAATTGTACCAATGGATGTTTTCTATTTGATATTTTGTGGTCCGCTAATTCATCAACACACCAATCTGTTAAAACTTCATAATGCGCTAAAATTTGACAGCACGTAAATAAGAGTGTTTACAATAGTTTGTTATTTGTATGTGTAGATTTTTTGTAAGACCCTTGCCTTATTTGAGAGAGATGCCTGTAAATGTTGTTGAAGACTTATGTAAGATATTTTATACAAAGCCAGGATGTGAGAAAAATTCTTCGTTTTGCAGCTAAATTCTAGAATAGATCCTGATGACTGAAGCTATTCATTAGACGGTACATAGGCTAGCACTCATTCTATTTATATCATCTCTTAGACTGCTCAGTCATTGTACAATAAAAAAACATGTGATATTTGACAGTAGATTTGCGTGGTGTGTGCTGATCACCTTTTTGGTGTGTAATAAAATGTTTTGGAAAAACAAAAGGCTTTTGTTTTTCTTTTTATGTTCCCTCTTAGCTTAACCCCTCTCTTTCAATTTCAATAATGTTCACTATATGGTCCTGACTGTGTGTGATTTTTCAGTTGAATTGCAAATCTGCTGAAGGGATCTAATTCAATCTCCATTGAAACGTTAATCATATGGACCTGAGAAAGTGTTAATATTTTTTGGTAAGTTTGGTATCTAAGATAGCCGCAATGTTGAAGATTTACCCTAAAGCCACTCCAACTGAGGAGATTGGTTTGAACCTTTATTTGACTGTTCAGTAAAAGCTCCTGACAAAGTGTTGATATATTTGGGGTTACTCATGTATCCGTTATTGGTAACCACAAGCGACGTTATGAAAATCTAACTTGAACATTAAACTCCAGTTCTACTGAAAAATTTCAATGAAACTTCGAAGGAATTATAAGTACATATTCTTGACAAAGTATTGCCATTTTCTATTTTAAACTCTGAACTCCAATTCTGCTGAAGACATTTCAAGACACATTCATTGGGATGTTAATTATATGGTCTTGACAAAGTGAGGTCAATTATGTTTTTATCTTGACAATCATAGCAAGAGTTTCCATCAACACAGAAATGTCATACAGAACTCCCATTGACACAACAATGTCATACAGGGTTCCCATCGACACAACAATGTCATACAGGGTTCCCATCATTACAACAATGTCATACAGGGTTCCCATCATTACAACAAGGTCATACAGGGTTCCCATCAACACAACAATGTCATACAGGGTTCCCATTAACACAACAATGTCATAAAGGGTTCCCATCAACATAACAATGTCATACAGAGTTTCCGTCAACACAACAATGTCATAAAGGGTTCCCATAAACACAACAATGTCATTCAGGGTTTCCGTCAACACAACAAGGCCATAATGGTTTCCCTTTCACACAACAATGTCATTCAGGGTTTCCGTCAACAAAACAAGGTCATAATGGTTTCCCGGGAACCCTGTATGAAATTGTTGTGTTGATGGGATCCCTTTATGACATTGTTGTGGTGATGGTAACCCTGTATGACATTGTTGTGTCATACAGGGTTCCCATCAACACAACAATGTCATACAGGGTTCCCATTAACACAACAAGGTCATACAGGATTCCCAGCAACACAACATTGTCATAAAGGGTTCCCATCAACACAACAATGTCATACAGGGTTTCCGTCAACACAACAAGGTCATAATGGTTTCCCTTTAACACAACAATGTCATACAGGGTTTCCGTCAACACAACAATGTCATAAAGGGTTCCCATCAACACAACAAGGTCATAATGGTTTCCCTTTAACACAACAATGTCATACAGGGTTACCATCAACACAACAATGTCATACAGGGTTCCCATCATTACAACAATGTTATACAGGGTTCCTATCATTACAACAAGGTCATACAGGGTTACCATCAACACAGCAATGTTATACATAATTCGCATCAACACAACAATGTCATAAAGGGTTCCCATCAACACAACAATGTCATACAGGGTTTCCGTCAACAAAACAAGGTCATAATGGTTTCCCTTTAACACAACAATGTCATACAGGGTTACCATCAACACAACAAGGTCATACAGGGTTCCCATCAACACATATTGTCATAAAGGGTTCCCATCAACACAACAATGTCATACAGGGTTTCAATTAACACAACAATGTCATACAGGGTTCCAATCAACACAACAATGTCATACAGGGTGTCAATCAACACAACAAGGTCATACAGGGTTCCCTTCAACACAACAATGTCATACAGGGTTCCCATCATTACAATAAGGTCATACAGGGTTACCATCAACACAACAATGTCATACAGGGTTCCCATCAACACATATTGTCATAAAGGGTTCCCATCAACACAACAATGTCGTATAGGGTTCCTATCAACACAACAAGGTCATAATGGTTTCCCTTTAACACAACAATGTCATAAAGGGTTCCCATCAACACAACAATGTCATTCAGGGTTTCCGTCAACACAACAAGGTCATATTGGTTTCCCTTTAACACAACAATGTCATACAGGGTTACCATCAACACAACAATGTCATACAGGGTTTCAATTAACACAACAATGTCATACAGGGTTCCAATCAACACAACAATGTCATACAGGGTTCCAATCAACACAACAATGTCATACAGGGTGTCAATCAACACAACAATGTCATACAGGGTTCCCTTCAACACAACAATGTCATACAGGGTTCCCTTCAACACACCAAGGTCATACAGGGTTCCTACAGGGTTCCTCTCAACACCACAAAGTCATACAGGATTTTCATCAACACAACAATGTCATACAGGGTTCCAATCAACACAACAATGTCGTACTGGGTTCCCATCAACACAACAATGTCATACAGGGTTCCCTTTAACAAAACACGGTCATACAGGGTTCCCTTTAACACAACAAGGTCATACAGGGTTCCCTTCAACACAACAAGGTCATACAGGGTTTTCATCAACACAACAATGTCATACAGGATTCCCATCAACACAATAATGCCATACAGGGTTCCCTTCAACACAACAAGGTCATACAGGGTTTTCATCAACACAACAAAGTCATACAGGGTAACCATCAACACAACAATGTCATACAGGGTTACCATCAACACAACAATGTCATACAGGGTAACCATCAACACAACAATGTCATACAGGGTTTCCGTCAACACAACAAGGTCATAATGGTTTCCCTTTAACACAACAATGTCATACAGGGTTACCATCAACACAACAATGTCATACAGGGTTCACATCAACATGTTCTATCAAGTAAATGTCGAAGCGACAAAAAGAACGACGGAAACAAGGAGAAATGGATGATTTAGACCCTCTGGAACGATCCTATCTAAACATCCATATGTGTCATTAAAGTGACAGTTTCATTTAAGGACACCCTTTTCATGGTCTCCTTTCCACCTATTAGATCGATATATGAAACTTCTAAAAATAACACCAAAACCAACCTCAATTCCCAAATACCGTGTATTTCACCGTGCGAGCAAAATCATTCCGAAATAATCGTCGCTCCAATTTTACGAATATCGTAACAGTAAAATCTGCCCATCATCGAATGTTGCAGAGGTGTCAATAGTAGCATTGCCCTTTTCTGTATTGTCCTCATTGAAAGGCTAATGTAGACTTGCTACAAACAATGTAAAATAAACAATGTTAGAGTGATAGTTGGAAAATAGAAGCTCTTAGGACCACAAACTACCAATTATAACAAAAGTAAGATAAAACATTAAAGGGAAGGCGCAACCCAAACAAATCAAGGATTAATGATATTTCAAGTTGGTCAAGAGACGGAAATGTCTAGCAAAGACCGAATGCAGGTAGGTAGACATGTTTCTTTTTAAAAAAAAAGATCGGCGGTCGCAAAATTGAAATCCAGCGTGACCATTCATTGAAAATGTTTTACAACACATGTCTTGCATGTTGACTGTTCGTATGTCGTGGCCTCACCGAAAGAATAAAATCTATATTGTATTAAAATTTGGCAATTTAAATTACATGTTCACCTTTAAATAAATTCATATTAATAAATCAGTTTTTCCCGTTTTTAGACCAAATGTCAACTTGAACGCTATTATATATTGACACTGACTTATTTTATAAACAGAAACATTGATGTTCGATCTATATATGACACAGGCTAAAAAAGTAATAAATCGTGATACAATTTTCTCTACAAATATCAATAATTCCCGCCAATTTACTTGACCTTGACCTTGGCCTTGGTTTTGTCGCACGAGCAGAGCGCGGCTAATAGATCTGTAGACGACCGTTCGCTGTGTCTGGGATGAAGAGGCAGCCCAGCTTTAACGACGGGTAGGTAACCTTGTGACTTTAACGCCCTTGTTTACGTTGAAGAGTCCAATAAGAAAATATTAGGAAATCGTAGAACAAATTCGAATTCGGTCAAGAAAAAAAATGCACTTGAACCTTATACGATAATTAAGTGTGTGTTTCTGTCCTATTTTTCTTGATAACAATTTAGCAAACAAATTTCAAGGAACAATTTTTGGTACAGTGTACAAAATAATTCATTATAATTCATTGAATATGTTTTTGGTTATTCTCAATATATTTAACCATTTACTCCCTATACAACTATTGGTTTTGTTTGCAGCCAGATCAGTTAAAAGTAAAACATATCAATTAGCTTACACTGCTGAAATGCTAAATACTGATATTATACTTAGTAGTGGTTTGTGGTGATGGCAGAGGGAGGGGACATGAAATATCATTAGCAGTGTAGGTGTATTTAGATTTGTATAAACGATGTTAGATTGTGTTGTTTATGATGAAGTGCCCAAGTTTTCTACTCTCTATGTTGAGTCTAACTGTTCTAATGTCCCTGTGTAATTTCAATGGTAGATATCTCTAATTATTTTAAGGATTAGTAAGTTAGTTAACACACCAGTAAATGAAATATTCACAAATTTACAGTGATTTTCTACTTTATTTTCACATGATCCTGTGATTTTTCAACTTTATAAACACAGAGGTCTTGGCATTCTTTCCATAATATTGATCCAGTACCTCATCTACAAGTACATATCCACAGGGACATTGCATTTGCTACCTTTTATTCACATGATCACTTGGTTTTTTTCTCCCAGCTGGTCCTGTGCCTTATATTGTGATATTTTGAAAATGAAATGTATATATCATTAGAAAACACTAATATACAACAACAACAATCTGAATGCTTATCAATGTATTCAATATGAAACTAAATAAACCCTTGTTTGTGAAGAAAAAGATGTGGGAAAATTAATATTAAATTCTCCATATGATCCAAAATTTTATTTTTGTGATAATTTTTGTCTTGTTATTTTCTCTAATTGGGAGATAGTATAAGGTGCTAAATACACTGCTGACAAACACTACTGTTGTTTTCATTTTAGGTCTTTTAGTCAGTTTTTCAGGTGTGAATGTTAAAGGTATGAT